AAATCGATGATGGATTTATTGAAAATTTATAGATTTTTATTTTATTTGTCATCAAAATTTTAGTTAAATAATCTTTCAGAATATTTTCCAAATCTCACTTTTAGGTCGAAATTTCAAAGAAATCTAAAATTTATTATGGGAATCCTCTCAAATCGATGATGGATTTATTGAAAATTTATAGATTTTTATTTTATTTGTCATCAAAATTTTAGTTAAATAATCTTTCAGAATATTTTCCAAATCTCACTTTTAGGTCGAAATTTCAAAGAAATCTAAAATTTATTATGGGAATCCTCTCAAATCGATGATGGATTTATTGAAAATTTATAGATTTTTATTTTATTTGTCATCAAAATTTTAGTTAAATAATCTTTCAGAATATTTTCCAAATCTCACTTTTAGGTCGAAATTTCAAAGAAATCTAAAATTTATTATGGGAATCCTCTCAAATCGATGATGGATTTATTGAAAATTTATAGATTTTTATTTTATTTGTCATCAAAATTTTAGTTAAATAATCTTTCAGAATATTTTCCAAATCTCACTTTTAGGTCGAAATTTCAAAGAAATCTAAAATTTATTATGGGAATCCTCTCAAATCGATGATGGATTTATTGAAAATTTATAGATTTTTATTTTATTTGTCATCAAAATTTTAGTTAAATAATCTTTCAGAATATTTTCCAAATCTCACTTTTAGGTCGAAATTTCAAAGAAATCTAAAATTTATTATGGGAATCCTCTCAAATCGATGATGGATTTATTGAAAATTTATAGATTTTTATTTTATTTGTCATCAAAATTTTAGTTAAATAATCTTTCAGAATATTTTCCAAATCTCACTTTTAGGTCGAAATTTCAAAGAAATCTAAAATTTATTATGGGAATCCTCTCAAATCGATGATGGATTTATTGAAAATTTATAGATTTTTATTTTATTTGTCATCAAAATTTTAGTTAAATAATCTTTCAGAATATTTTCCAAATCTCACTTTTAGGTCGAAATTTCAAAGAAATCTAAAATTTATTATGGGAATCCTCTCAAATCGATGATGGATTTATTGAAAATTTATAGATTTTTATTTTATTTATCATCAAAATTTTAGTTAAATAATCTTTCAGAATATTTTCCAAATCTCTCAAAAATTGAACCAGAAGATGAAATTTTTTATGGGAATCCTCTCAAATCGATGATGGATTTATTGAAAATTTATAGATTTTTATTTTATTTGTCATCAAAATTTTAGTTAAATAATCTTTCAGAATATTTTCCAAATCTCACTTTTAGGTCGAAATTTCAAAGAAATCTAAAATTTATTATGGGAATCCTCTCAAATCGATGATGGATTTATTGAAAATTTATAGATTTTTATTTTATTTGTCATCAAAATTTTAGTTAAATAATCTTTCAGAATATTTTCCAAATCTCTCAAAAATTGAACCAGAAGATGAAATTTTTTATGGGAATCCTCTCAAATCGATGATGGATTTATTGAAAATTTATAGATTTTTATTTTATTTGTCATCAAAATTTTAGTTAAATAATCTTTCAGAATATTTCCAAATCTCACTTTTAGGTCGAAATTTCAAAGAAATCTAAAATTTATTATGGGAATCCTCTCAAATCGATGATGGATTTATTGAAAATTTATAGATTTTTATTTTATTTATCATCAAAATTTTAGTTAAATAATCTTTCAGAATATTTTCCAAATCTCTCAAAAATTGAACCAGAAGATGAAATTTTTTATGGGAATCCTCTCAAATCGATGATGGATTTATTGAAAATTTATAGATTTTTATTTTATTTGTCATCAAAATTTTAGTTAAATAATCTTTCAGAATATTTTCCAAATCTCACTTTTAGGTCGAAATTTCAAAGAAATCTAAAATTTATTATGGGAATCCTCTCAAATCGATGATGGATTTATTGAAAATTTATAGATTTTTATTTTATTTGTCATCAAAATTTTAGTTAAATAATCTTTCAGAATATTTTCCAAATCTCTCAAAAATTGAACCAGAAGATGAAATTTTTTATGGGAATCCTCTCAAATCGATGATGGATTTATTGAAAATTTATAGATTTTTATTTTATTTGTCATCAAAATTTTAGTTAAATAATCTTTCAGAATATTTTCCAAATCTCACTTTTAGGTCGAAATTTCAAAGAAATCTAAAATTTATTATGGGAATCCTCTCAAATCGATGATGGATTTATTGAAAATTTATAGATTTTTATTTTATTTGTCATCAAAATTTTAGTTAAATAATCTTTCAGAATATTTTCCAAATCTCACTTTTAGGTCGAAATTTCAAAGAAATCTAAAATTTATTATGGGAATCCTCTCAAATCGATGATGGATTTATTGAAAATTTATAGATTTTTATTTTATTTGTCATCAAAATTTTAGTTAAATAATCTTTCAGAATATTTTCCAAATCTCTCAAAAATTGAACCAGAAGATGAAATTTTTTATGGGAATCCTCTCAAATCGATGATGGATTTATTGAAAATTTATAGATTTTTATTTTATTTCTCATCAAAATTTTAGTTAAATAATCTTTCAGAATATTTTCCAAATCTCTCAAAAATTGAACCAGAAGATGAAATTTTTTATGGGAATCCTCTCAAATCGATGATGGAAAGTTTTTCAAACAGTTCAAATAAAAAACCTAAATTTGATTTAAATTTGTCTCCAAGACATGAAGAAAATGTAAAATTTTTTGATAAACAAGTATAGATAATATTTTAAAAATATTATTTTTAATTTAATTGATAAAAATATTTAGACTTAATTAATTTAAAAATCTTTAACTTTGCCTAAATTGCAATTTGTCAGAAGAAATTTAATTAAGATGAAGCTTATAGTGTTAGCTAACAACTCTCCAAATTTCAGAATTTTTAGTTTAAAATTAATAAAGTTATGATTTTTAAACTAATCTAACTCTTATTTTTAATTATCAACTGAGGTTAGAGATCAGAGAGTAAATTGTTTTTCTCTAATTATTAAGCTGTATTTGTTTATCATCTTTTTTATTATTCAACCGATTTAAACAAATAATATGTATATCATTCTAAAGCTCTTGAAAAGTCGGTTATTTTTAATAATTGGATCAAATTGATCTGAACATTATTTAAAATGTTAGAGGTCTTAAGAAAAGATAAGTTTGCTATTTTGTGTTTAAAAAATTAATTTAATTACTAGAAAGAATTTTTATACTTCATTTAAAAAATTTTTTAAACCATAAAATAGAAAAAGAAAAAAATTTTAAAATAGAAAGGAAAGATTTAAAAAGATATTTTGCTCAAAATATAACATCCAAATAGAGCAAAAATAATTTTTTTAAATAAAAAATTCGAATTTACTCAACATCGTCTCACAAGACTCTTCCACTAAAAATTAAATAAAAATTAATTTAATTAATTTAAAAAACATACAATTTATATTCAAATTAAATATCTTCATTATAAACAGAAGAAGAAGCTTCATCATCAACAGTTAATGCATCACGTACTGCTTGAATTAGGATCATTAAGCCTTCTAGCAAGTTTTTTAACATTAGTTTCATAACGGGAGCGAGCCAATTTACCGCAGCCCAATATACCGCAGCCTAATTTAAATATTTTACTATTTCTGTAAAATATTTTAATTAATTTTTTATATTAAATTAACCGTTTTTTTAATATTTTATTCAAAGCATCTTCAAATTGTTGATGAAAATGAGGAGTTTGAACCCAAATACCAACTTGAAGATATTCAACAACTGAAGCATTATAACGTTGATCACCAAGTAAAGGAATACAAATTACTGGAACACCAGCATATAAAGCCTTTTTTTAATTTTAAATTAAATTTTTTAATTTTAATTAAACCAACACCCTTGAGTTTAATTATTTTAAATTAAAAAATAAAAATTAAATTTAATTAATTACCTCAGTTAAACTATTCTGTCCACAATGTATTATAGCAATTTTTGTATTTTTCTGGGCTAAATAATTAAATAAATTAATTAATTATTTATAAAATTATTAAATAATTTCAAAAAATAAAAATGCCAAAAAAATTTGTGCAAAAATATTTTTTAAATAAATATAAAAAATCTAACCCAAAATTTTTTGTTGAGGAATATCGTCATTAATGAATTCAACATTGTTTAAATTAAAATATCTTTTTTGTTGATCATTAGGAAAATGTGCTTCATCAATTCTTATCAAAAAATGGCATTCGGGGTGTTTGCCAAGTGCACGATACATTGTGTTTAAATTTTCTTGATCTATTCCATTAAAAGATGCAAGTGTTCCAATACTAAGAAAACCAACACATTCTACCTAAAAAATAAAAAAATAATTATATTAAATAAAAGAATTTTTAATCAACATTTTGGAGCATTACATGATATTTGTGAACTTATAACTTTGCCAATATAGAAACAAATTTAATGAAATTTGGCATAAATGACCCTTATTGTATTAGCTATTAATGTTTTAAATTTCAAAATTTTTGGTTAAAAAAAACTTTATACATTATTATTCCAAGCAACATCTGTCAAATAATCATTATTATTTAAAGCTTTAGCTTGAAAATTCTTTAACATTTGATCACCAATTGCAATTCCTCCAATAAATTTAATTTTATTATTTAAATCTCTAGGATATGCAGCAAGTTCAGAATGATTAACCAAAAAATATTTAACATTAGAAAATAAAGCTCTAGGTGATTTAAAAGGTTTTTTAAAAGGCATTGCTGATGAATTTATCAATTGAACATTATAATTTTGTTTATATTCGGTATCATATATTTCAGTAAATTTTCTAATTAATTCATTATAATTATTATTATTTTGAATTTGTCGAGGACTTCCTGGTATACGAATTTTAGCATTTCTTAATCCATCACCTTTCGATGCAGAATAATGCTCTTAAAAATTTAATATTAAATTATTTTAATTTAAGATTTAACATGTAAATTTAATTTAAAAATTAAAAAAATAAATAACTAACCAGGTACATCAATAGGAATTTTTAATCCTAAAAAATGATAAAAAACAGGTATAGCAGGAGTTGCTGTAGTTGCAATTGTTTTTTCAATTCCTAATTCATTAAATAAAGCAAATCCTGATGTTATTGAACCTATTTCTGCTATTCCTAATTGATAATTTTGATGTTTAAGCCATTCAAATATTCCATAACGACGACCATATACATAAACAGGAACATTCTTTATCACAGCTAAATAAGTAAATTTAATTAAAAATAATTTTAAAAAATTCCTCTTACTTTGAAAAAATGTAACTGATCTACATTTAGTCATTTTCCAATAAATATCCAAATTAGTTGTTATACTTTCTTGATCCCAATTGCTTGGAAGTAGACCAACTCCGCCAGTATAAAATTTACTATTTTCATATTCTTGATCAATTGGAAGAAGTATAGCTTTAATATCTTCTCTTAAAAGATTTTGAACTTCTTTTTCAAGATCGACAGGATGAGTATTTTTTCCTTCGTACGTTGCAATTAAAAATGTCTATAATTTAATTTTAATTAATTTTAATTCAATTATAATTTAATTCAAATTAATTAATTTACCACGCAATAATTTTCATTCAAAATCTTTGCCATTTCTCTCTGAAAAAATTTTTAAAAAATTGAAATTAAAAAATTTTTTTGCCAAAATTGCAATTGACCACATGAAATTTGGCTAGTTTAAGTTTATAGTGTTACCTATCAACCCTCCAAATTTCAAAATTTTTAGTTAAAAATTAATAAAGTTATGATTTTTTAAACCTAACCAATTTATGCATTAAAAAATAAAAATAAATTATTAACATTAATTTAATTTAAACTTACAGCCAGAACATAGTGACTATAATATTGCCCATCAGCCAAATATAGAATTTCATGCGAAACTAAATTAAAAAATATTATTAAAAATATTTAATTAATTATTTACATTCTTCTCTACCACATTTTGCCCCAATTTTACCAACAAAGGCAAAAATTAAAAAAATAAATAATTTAATTCTAGTTATATTAAAATTCATTATAATGAATTAAAAATCTGAAAAAATATTTTTAAAATTAAATTAAAAATAATTAGAGCTCTAGATTGGAACCAGTTAGCATTTGAAGAAGTTTTTAATTAATTCCAGCCCTATTAAATTTTTTTAAATTTTTTATTAATTTTAAAACTCATGTCTTGCCCCGGTAACATTCTCAGGCCTTGCTTTGATTAAATTTTTAAATATAAATTTAATTATTAACGGTAAAGCTCATTAATTATAACGTATAATGCTCTATATTTAATTTAATTTTAATTAAAAAAATAATTTAATTTAAATTAAAAATTAAAAATAAATAAAAATAATTTTTTTCTTTCCTTATAAAGCTAATCACTTAAAATAATTTTTTTAAATTGCCTTGGCAAATAATTTGGAAGTAATTTTTGTCTTTTTTTTATAATAATTTTATTAATTAAAAAAGGTCATTTTAAAAATAATTAAATAAAAATTATATTAAGCTGTTAAAACTTAAAAAATTTTCGCCTGCGGCGCAAAAAATTGAAATAATCTGGCTTTGCATGAAACATTGTCCTTACATATGCAGAACTTTTGCCCCTCCCCTCCATACATACAGCAAAATTCTCAAAATTTTCTTAAGGACATCCAAAATTGTCCTTAAGAAAGAAATTTTTCCTTAAGAAAAAAAAACGTTGAATGACATTCCCGTTATGTCATTAAACGTTTCGATATCAATTTGTTTAAAAATTTGAAGACAATTCGGCAAGCTCAAAATATAATTCTGGAAATTTTTCATTTGATTGACCGGGCGGTAAGGGTGGAGGGCAGTTTGGCTATTTGCTGAATGATGACTTTCAGCAACTTGTTTTTCTCCTTTAAATCAAAAAATAGAAATAATACAAAGTTTAATAAATCAAAAAATACTACTTGAAGGTCTCATTCCATCGCTAGTGTGTAAAGAATTCAAAATTAAAATAAATTAAAAATAAATTAAAAATATTCAATTATCTCGAATAAAATTGAAGTAAATAAATAAATTAATGTGAAGAAGGAAGAGGGAGCTCATATAAAGGGTAAGTAAATGAGTGGGAAGGAAGTGAAGAGGAAGTTAATTTTTAAAATTGTAAATTGATTTAGCATTGTGCATATTATTATAAAATGCCGTCAATAAAATAGGGATGGAGAATCGACTTGCGCTTCCGATTTAAAAAAAACGGAAGTCGTTTGCAAGATGCAAATTTATTTAAATTTATTTAAATTTATTTATTGTTTAGTCAATTTCCCTCTATGGTTTTTAGATTTTCGATGACCAACACAATTCGCCGTTTTTTCTTATGTATATAAGAGCCGAAAAGAATTACAGCAAATAGTGATATGGGCAGTGTTTTGGAAAAATCCGACGGATACGTATGGTTACCGATTTAGAATTTTATGAACAGAAGGAAAATGTATTTGATTGATAAAAGTAAATAAATGTTGAAGAAAAAAATTTTAATAATATGAATGTGAAATTATTCAAAAGTTTTCGCAAAATGGTAATAAAAATAAAATATTTAAAATGTTTGCTTAAAATTTTTTCTCAAATTTTCTTTTGAATTTTCTTGAATTGAAAAATGTTTTATTTCTTCATCTTAATTTAAATTGGAATAATTAGAAGAAAATCATTTATAATTAACATTAAAAAAAGTTTTTCCCCTAAAAATTTTGTTTTAATTTTTTATATCAATTTTAACAATTCATTTCATTTTTCTCTCCAATCAAAATTCTTCACAACTCTTGTTTACTTCTCTCCTTGTGTATTTTCTTTCTCTTTATTCAAATAATTATCAATTTTTTCCAAATCTTTTTTTATTTTCAAATCAACAACTAAATTAAATAAATCGTCGAGAATATCTAATGGTATATCGTTTTGTGTTGGATTAGCTTTGCTAGATGGAATAGAACGTCCATAAACATTAATTGTTATTGTTGAAATAAATAAAAATAAAATTAAAATATTTTTAATTTTTAAAATATTATAAAAATATTTTCTTAAAAATTTTTTTTTAAATTTCGAAAAATTTTTGGGAAAAATATTTTTTTATAATAATTTTTTCTGAAATTTTAACATAAAAATTATATTAAAATATATTAAGTAAATTTTAAGTAAAATGTGCATAAAAATATTTAAAAAAATGCTTGGACAGGCATTCTCCCGTTAAAAATTTGATGAAAATTAAATTTAATTAAAAAAGTTAATGAAGAACAAAAAATTTTTAAAATATTTAATCTTAAATGAAATAAAAAATTCAGAAATTGACTTAAATTCATTTGAAAATTGAAAAAAAAGATTTCTATTTTAAAATATATCTTTAAGAAATAAGGATTTTTAAACAGATTTCTTAAACTATTTTTTTCTAACATCTCCTTAATTATTTTAATTGACAATTTCGATATCCGAATCGACCATCTCCACTTCCCTTGTTATTCCTGCTTTGTCTAAATGAAATTCATATATTCCTTCATTCAGAATTGAATATATTCAATAATGACTTTGACGAACAACATTTTGGTCTTGATACACCAGATCAAATTATGAAATTATTTTACTCATAAAATAATTAATTTAACTTTAGTTGAAATAACAATTCAACGCCACGGACCACATCAAAATGTAGAGCATATTGTAACCAATGCTGATGCCTCAACTCATCATTATGGTCATGTTCACGGTAATGGCCATGGTGGACAGATACCAAATTATTTTACCCAAGAAGTTATTCATTTTGGATATGGAACAAACGAATATGTTTATAAAGTAAAATGGCAACTTAATCAAAATTTAGAAAATATTGAATATGTTGAAATGTTTAGTTACAATCAAAGAGAGCATGCTGCTATTTTTACTCAAATTATCAGACATGAAACAAATGATGGGAATATTTTGACAGTTTACCAAAGCCGGATCCAACATTACAATATCGTCTAGGCCTTGGATCGGAAAAAGCGAAGTGTAAAAGTATATAGGGGGAAAATTTTCAAAATATAAGCTACAAAAAGACATTTTAGTATATTACTAAGGTTTTTATTTCATCATTGTTGAATACAATTTGTAAAATATTTTACAATATAAAAAACATTACACATTTTCATAGATATGTAAATATTAGAAAACCTACATTTATCTGATAAAGCGTTTTTTGTTTTAAAATATAGTATTTAAAAATAATTAAAATATGTTCCTTTTAATCATTTTCTAGGCAAAAATACAATTTCTGGCGAAAATCAAATAATTTTAAATTATTTGATCAATGGCTTGACTTTTTTCGTCATCAAACAAATATTATATTGTTATTTGAAAATATTTAAAAAAATTTGTTTTTAACGTCAAATATTTTCTGGGTCCGATTTCTAGTCATTCCGATTTCTAGTCTTTCTAATCCTTCACTATTCTTCTAAGCCCCAAATCCTCTTATATCAGTCTTTTTTCTCCTACTACAATATATTCATTTTTATCACTCAAACCTCCGACATTCCTTTTGATCACTCTATTCACAAATCATCGAAACTTAAATGAAATAAAAAATAAGCCTAATCAGAAATTGACTTAAATTTATTAGAAATTTTGAAAAAAATGAAAATTGACTTAAATTATTGAGTTGAAAAAGAAATTGAGAGGAAATTGACTTAAATTTATTGGAAATTTAAAAAACAAAGATTTATATTTCAAAATATTTCTTTATGAATAAAATTTTTGAAAGGATTTCTTAAATTATTTTTGTGCTAACATCTCCTTCATTATTTTAAATTGACAATTTCGTTATCAGAATCGACCATCTCCACTTCCCTTGTTATTCCTTCTTTGTCTAAATTAAATTCGTATATTCCTTCATTCAGAATTGAATATATTTCGAAAACACTTTTTTGATTTTTGTAAAATGAGCCTCCATTATATACATCCATTTGACCATCTTCAATATCATTTCTTTCCGTTTCTGACAAATAGATTCTTATGGTCCGTCTCAAACTTTTCACCACTTTTTTCTCTAAATCATTCATTTTTTTGAACATTTTGAAAACACATTTTTCCTCATTTTCTTTTTTAATTTTAACAAAAAATTCAAGACAACCCTCATAAAATTTTCCTTCGACAATTACAATATAATTTCCTGGATTTTTAAATTTTAGACAAATTTCAATGTGTGAATATTCCATTATCATTTCAGGTTTTTTGCCATTTAAAGAAAATGGTTCAAATAAATTAATCTTGGTATACTTTTCTCTTTTTAAAATTTTTCTAGGTCCTTCTTGGTTC